TGCTCAGCATATTTAAAAACTACTCATGACAGAGACCAATCCTGCAGAAATAAAGAATTGAAGAGACTTAAATAATCTCTTGTGAAGAGAGAGCTGAATTTATGTACCTGTGAATGAGTTTCTACATGTAGAACTTATCAAAAGGTATCATGACTCTTCTCTAGCAGGTCATTTTGCAGACACTAGAACTCATAAGTTGCTCACAAGAAAATACTTCTGATTGAAGATGTGAGAACTTGTGAAGAAGATAGTGAATTCTTGTACTATTTATCAGAATTCACAGATAGTGCAGTTCAGATTATATGAAGAACTTACTTCTCTACTTATTCTGCAGAAATCTTGAGAACAGCTAGAAATGAATGTTCTTATAAGTCTCTCTGAAAGTAAGAACATATATAATGCCTGCTTTGACAGTGTGCTGATGATAGTGAATTACTTTATCAAGATAACACACTTTATACCCACCTGCAAGAACTTGAAGTCAAAGAATTTGACTCATATCTTTGTCTGCAATGTGATCTGATTATATGAATTATCTGTGAATATTGTCTCAGACAGAGAATCAATCTTCATAGAAGAGTTCTGATCTGATCTGATAACTATACTGAAGATCTCATGAGATCTAAGCATGACTTTTCATCAATAGACAGATGATCAGACAGAATACCTGATGAGTATATTGAAACAGTATCTGCAGTGCTTTGTCAATTACAATCAGAATGACTGAATACATTGATTACTACTTATGAAGTTTGTGTATAACAACTTAAAGCATGTCAGCACAGATAAAACCCTCTTTGAGATGCTCACTGAGACTCATTCATGAATGATCTTGATAAACCCGCGAGAGTACACTATAGAGTGTGATAATATCTGTGAATGAGCTGAGAGAATTCAGAAGATCTGAGAGAAAGCCTGTAAATTCTTGAGAAAGGCTCAAGAGTATTAGAAGAGATACTATGACTTCAAGCATATTATGAAGAGTTTCAAGAAAGATAATAGAGTCTGACTGAGTCTAGAAAACATTATTATATGAAGATCTAGTAAGAAGCTGAATCTCTTGCAGATAGAGCCTTGCAAGATTATGAAGAAAGTTAGCTTACAGTTCTACAGATTGAAACTGTCACCTGAGTTACAGATATACAATGTTTTTCATGTCTCTTTACTCTGCAAATATAAGGAATTCTCAGAAGAGAATTCTGTGACTCATCACTCTGTCTACAAAGTACTAGAGAGTGAAAGAGAATATCAGATTAAAGAAATTATTGACTCAGAGAAGTGAGATTACAAGCTCTGATTCAAGATTCAGTGATAAGAGTATTCTGACAAGATGAATGAGTTCACTTAAGAATTATCTGAATAGATAAGATATCTGCAGAAGCTGAGACATGACTTTTATACTGTGAATTCTGATAAGTCAGAATGATGCAGTCTTCACTAAGAATCTGATTATAATAAAGATATTAACACTGTTATTTATAAATTCTAGTCTATAAGATAATGAGTTTCTACTGAGATGAACAGTCTGTGATGTATGCAAGGAAAGAAGAAAACATATTCTTATTAAAGTTAAAAAATAAGAAAATAAACAGGGTCATGAATGCAATTTAGAGATTAATAAAGAAAAAATAAAGAAAATTCACACTTATATTATCAATATTCATAACACTCAACTTCTTCATAACTATCAATTTCTTTCTTCAAAGAAGCAGAGAGTATCATACTCATAATACAGATAATTGTTGCATTTGATGTGAAGACTGTCAGAAATGCACAGACTTCAGAGAAGTCAGACACCAGAGTACATGCAGTTGCAGCAGAGTCTTGAAGACTGATCACCTGTGTATGTGATCAGATACTTCTTACAAAGCTGTGTCTGCTCTCTCAGTTATGCTGGAGTATTCAGTCTGAAAACAATGAGAATGTGAAGAGAAGGCTTATCTACTCAGATCAACTCTCATCATGAATTCATGACATTCACATTGCCTTGATTACTCAGATTTTATAAATACTCAGAAACCTATCTCTCATTGACAATGAGATTGTGAAAATGCACCGCGGCGCGAGGACCATTGATAGGGAACCTAGGCATATTCACATATGCCTGATCAGAGATTGTGTGGACAGGGAAGGAGTGATCATAGGCTCACAGAGCCGCAGAAGACACTGGTAACACCAGGAGCTTCATAAGAACTGTCAGCTAGAATCTGTAAGGAATTACTTGTGAGAAGACTTACAGCAAAGAGAGGAACTGCACTGCTTGAAGCCAGGGACTGATCTGAGAGAGGAATGAGATGAGCCGCTGGCCTGAAGATTGAGTGCAGTGACAGGGCTGAGAGAGATGAAGATACAGTCATGAGCAGCAGCACCCCTACTTCATCAGCTGATAAAAAGTGATCAGAGAAGTCACAGAGACACTCATAAGAAGCTCAGCAGTAATCAGACATTGTTTATGAAGATATTGAAATTGAAAAATTTTTTATTCTTGAGAAGTTCTTGAATCAATATATAGATATTGTCAGAAACACTCTCTCTCTGTTATCTGAGTGAAAACACTTCACAGATGAATGAGAATACTCACAGTTTGTAAAAATAAAAGCTGTTATAGAAAAAGAGAAAAGAAGATGAGATTTCACAGACAGATCTGAGATATTTATACTACTCTAGAGAGGTTTATTTACACTGTGAGTGATTCTGCAGAACAGTCAGATCACTCTAGTAAATAAGAGTGATTATGAATTACAGACCTGAATCTTTCTATATGACTATAAAGAGTGATTGCAGACTGCAAATATCTTGATTCTACAATTCTACAGAGTTAGTGAAAGAATGAAAAATTCCTCACAATTCTACAGTGTTAAAGAGCAATGATTTGCAAGAATGAATAAAAGATCAACTCACAAATGTTTCTCTTTGATAAGAATGATCTCACAGAGAGTGATTCATCTGCAAGATGAATCTGTGTAATAATCACATAAGAATCTTATGAAAATGATTGAGAGTCAACTGAAACTCTTCTGTATGAAAGATGTGAGATGAATCTGTGTAATAGTCAGACAAGAATCTGTAGATTATAAAGAATCTCATGAAATAAGAAACTGAGTGACAGACTCTTTTCTCTTCATAATAACAAGGAATTTTTCCTCACTGAGATTTTTTATAGATGTGAAGAGTTTTTAGTGAGTATCACTGCAGTGCTGAAGCTGACTATGAAGTCACTCAGTAAAAGACTTTATGAATGAAGTCTTAGAGAGAAAGAAGTATGTAAGAAATCTCACTTCTCATGAATTCTTTATCTCTATTTCTATCTCTTATATAATTAATAGAGCTAGCAGCCCTTGGCTACACACAACTATATAGACTGGAGTTCGCGAATACTATTCATAACTCAGCTTGAATACTATTATACATTTGATTCCTACATTTATCTTCCTACTGTGAACACTTCTAGTAGTTAACAGTACATATCACACCAAGCTGCAAACACCCGAATAATCGCCTGCGAGCACTTATTCTTACAGAAGTATCTCTCAGTGCCAGAAGTAAAAGTGAGATTGAAACTTTTGAATAAAATTCATAAGAAGACAGTGAAAAGCATTCACTGCACTCAGAAGTGATAGATAAAATACTACAATTAAAAACATCTTCTGATGAAGTTCTTGATAGAGAATCAAGTGCTACTTTCAGCAAAGAACATCAAGACAATAAGACTGTATAAGAAGCTTAGTGAGTGATGACTAGAATCTTTCTCAGTAACAAGAGTGATGAGTAAGCAGACATATGAGTTGAAATTACTCACAGAATTGAAATCAATTCATTCTGTTTTTTACATTTTCTATTTGAAGCTCTATAAGTAATATCTCAGAGTGAAGTCATCTCAGCTGAATGACATTGAGATTGAGAGTGATACTGAATATCTTATGAAGAAAATATTGAACAAGTGAACACATTACAGCAAGCTCTAATATCTTGTTAAATGAGAAGATTATTTATTATCAGAGAATTCATAAGAACTGCTTGAGCATTTGAAAAATGCTGAGAAAGAGATTGCAATCTATGAGATGACTAGTAGAGACTACTCTGTTACACATCAGAGACATTGAGCAAGAAATGCTGCTTAAGACTTCTCATTTTTCTCAAAGGATTTTTTAGAGATAATCTCACAGTGATGAGTCAGTGTCTTATAGACTCTGTAACACTCTTCTTCTATTTTCTCTCAAAGAATTTTTTAGAAGTTTAATGAGACTACACAAGTGTAAAATTTCTGAAGCAGTTAATAAGAAAAAGAAAGAGATATTTGAAATTAATAAAAAGATTAATATTAATTGATCTGCAGACTGCTGCTAATCTAATGAGACTGCAGCTCACTGAAAAAGTAAAAAGAGAGAATCTCAGAATCTACTTATTAATAATTACACTCTTATCAAACTCATTCTTCACTATTGAAGTCTTCAGTACTGATATCTTTGTCTGCTGAGAAGTTAGTGCTGCAGCACTGCAGAAGAGTATGAGAAATGTATAAAATATTAACTTATCAACTTATAAAGCATCTCAGTCATCTGCTTTAATTGAAGCAAGATTCTCTTTAATTAGTAATTGATCTCTGTGATACTTTCAACAGCAGTGCTGACTGATCTCTTCTTGAGATCAGTCATTCTGAGGTGTTTTTTCATCTCAGAGACTCATGCTTTTGTCTTCTTTTACAGATAAGTAAGAAGGATCTTCTCAGTCTTAACAGAATTCATCAATACTTAAAGCTCTGAGATTCTCACTCTGTACTGCTTGAGTATCTAGACTTCTTGTCAGAACTGATACAATGTCTTTCTGTGAGATAATACTTACAGAGAGACAGAAGTCATTGTTACAGATACAACAGAAATAACAGAAGTGAGAGAAGAAATAAATATATAAAATCCTCTTCTTCTTCAGCTGCTTGACACAGCACAGACAAGTAGCAGTGCCGGCCAGAGGCTGCATCAGAGCCTCCTCACAGAGAGAAGATGAAGGAACTGCAGGACTCTGCAGACCCAACCCAGCAGCATTCTGAGCAGGGCTCGGGTGTGCCGCGGGAGAGGAACTATGAATTGGGCTCCTCAGAGCCACTGTTCCCAGAACCAAGCTCTCCCCAGGTTCCTCTCCAAATGACCACACAGGGTCATACACCACTGTATTGACTGAGAGGGAGGGCGGCGTTGCAACAGCGGCGGGGGGGGCAGAGGACAGACTGGACACAGATGCACTGACCGGCAGAACTGCTGCAGCTGTAAGAGAAGCAGGAGAAGATGTGATAATGAGAGTGATGCTCCCGCAGCTCATTGACATTGCTGCCTCCAACCTGGCTTTCTTAGCAGTCACAGAGGCCACTGCCGCACCACAAAGACATTTACTCACTAGAAAACATCAGAATAAGTCCTTGATTGTCCTTCAAGAATGATACTCTCATGCACTCACTATTGCAATTGAGAGAGAGGGAAGAAAAATGTTTCACAGAGAAGAGAATCTTTTTAAAAAATCCTGTTACTACTGTCAGCTTTGTCTCTAAAACACATCACTTTTGCAGAGAATTTCATATATAGAATGAAATATGATGAGAGATCTGCAAGTCACTTGTTAACTATGTTTTCTTCATCTCAAATTGATATATAAGAAACTCATTTATCATGTGTTTGATTTGAATAAAGATGAAAAAAGAAAGATCTATGCAGTCAGCAGAATAACTCATCTATTTCTTTATATTATACACAGCACATGTGCTGTTAATCAGTTGACAACTGTTACTATATAACAAAGATAATTTCTAATTCAGTAATCTTGAGAGTATAGAGACTATGCTCTTAAGAGAGAGAGCATTGTCACACTCCCAGCTGTGTCAAGGCCCTGTTATGATTTCACACAGCTCATCACTTTCATGTAGATAATTTCATTCTGTCTGAACTGATTTTCAATCACTTTATAACATCATTCAGATATATCATAGAAAGATCTGATTGATGAATATAAGAACCTCACTTCTATACAAGGTCAGCAGATTACTCTTTCTTGGCAATGAGATATCACTGAGGTATCACTCCAGCTATTCTCACTCATGAAATGAGAGGAGAGTATCTGCTCATTGTCTATATAGAATAGCTAGATACTGGCTTCTTATCAAAGAAGTCAGTGATTCATTTTACTGCTACTGAAATATACACAAGAGTTACTGTGTGCCTCATACAATCTTCTTAGTATACTAAGTACTATATCTGTGATATCCTTGCAATAACCCTGTAGCCTATAAGCTCGCTATTCAAGCAAGATAGTCAAGCTCACTCATACAGCTTCCCAAACAACTACCCCTACGTGTCGCCGCCGACTAGCCACCGCTTCGGTTCCGCCATGTTACAACAGAGAACTTTCTTATCTCAGAAGCTTATAGAGTCTTTACAAGATTAAAACAGATATTCACAGATACAGTAATACTATTTCACTTTAATTTCTTACTCTTAATCAGATTGAAGACAGTTGTCTTCTTCTTTATAATTTCAGAAATAATCTCATAACTATAGTTAAATGAGAACTGAGTTTCAATGATCTTTTTCTCACAGAAGATGCAACTTATAAAGATTAATTATAATATTTATAATCAGAAGCTTCTTATAATAGTGAAATTCTTCTATCACTGATATCACTACTTTAAGAGTCTTATAACAGTGATTACTATTAAAACTGATTATAACAGCTTATAACAGTTTACTTCAATCAAGAAACTCTTATAATAACAGATTCACTGAGCTCAGAGACTGAGTGAATTCTGATTCAAGATAGAATATATCAAGAGAACTAAGAACTCAGTAGATAGATTCTCTCACAGATCAGACTATGTTAAGAAGATCAGAATAACAGATACAGAGAGACTAGAGAAGACAGAAAAGCTTCACAAAATACTTGAACTAAGTGTTATAAAGAGATTAACTGAAGAGTCTTCTAATTCTCTATAAGAGAAGAGAAGAAAGAGAGAAAAGAAGTCTGTATAACTACTTTCTATAACACTGAGAGTTAACACTCTGAGAATCTCTGTGAGAATTCTTGAAAAGAGAATCTATAATCTGAAGAGTTTGTAAGCTTTGAGAAGCACTGCAGAAGACCTGATATAAGAAGAAACAGAGTATAAGTCTTTATAAAATCTTCTATTCAGATTGTCTGAACTGCAACTGAAGAATGAATATACTCAGTATATTCAGAAACTACTCACAGCAGAGATTAATTCTGCAGAAATAAAGAATTGAAGAGACTTAAATAATCTCTTATAAAGAGAGAGCTGAATTTATATACCTGTAAATAAGTTTCTATGTATAGAACTTATCAAAAGATATTATAACTCTTCTCTAGTAAGTTATTTTATAGACACTAGAACTTATAAGTTACTTATAAGAAAATACTTCTAATCAAAGATGCAAGAACTTATAAAGAAGATAGTGAATTCTTATACTATTTATCAGAATTTATAAGTAGTACAGTTCAGATTATATGAAGAACTTACTTCTCTACTCATCTTATGAAAATCTTGAGAACAGCTAGAAATGAATGCTCTTATAAGCCTCTCTGAAAGTAAGAATATATATAATGCCTGCTTTGACAGTGTGCTGATAATAGTGAATTACTTTATTAAGATGACACACTTTATACTCATCTGTAAGAACTTAAAGTTAAAGAATTTAATTTATATCTTCATCTGTAATATAATTCAGTTGTATAAGTTATCTATGAATATTATCTCAGACAGAGAATTAATCTTTATAGAAGAGTTCTAATCAGATCTGATAATTATACTGAAGATCTTATAAGATCTAAGTACAGCTTTTTATCAACAGATAGATAATCAGACAGAATATCTAATAAGTATATTAAAATAGTATCTGCAGTGCTTTATTAATTACAATCAGTGTAAGAATAAGTGCTCACAGGCGATTATTCGGGTGTTTGCAGCTTGGCGTGATATGTACTGTTAACTACTAGAAGTGTTCATGATAGAAAGATAAAATATAGAGATTAAATGTATAATAGCATTTAAGCTGAGTTGTGAATAGTATTCACAAACTCCAGTCTATATAGTTGTGTGTAGTCAAGAGCTGCTAGCTCTATTAATTACACAAGAGATAGAAATAGAGATAAAGAATTCATGAGAAGCAGAATTTCTTACATACTTCTTTCTCTCTAAGACTTCATCTGCAAAGTCTTTCACTGAGTGACTTTATAGTCAGCTCAGCACTGCAGTGATACTCACTAAAAACTCTTCACATCTATAAAAAATCTCAGTGAGGAAAAATTCCTTGTTACTATGAAGAGAAAAGAGTCTGTCACTTAGTTTCTTATTCTGTAAGATTCTTTATGATCTACAGATTCTTCTCTGACTATCACACAGATTCATCTCACATCTTTTATATAGAAGAGTTTCAGTTGACTCTTAATTATTTTCATGAGATTCTTGTGTAATTATTATACAGATTCATCTCACAGATGAATCACTCTCTGTGAGATTACTCTTATCAAAGAGAAATATTCACAAGTTAATCTTTCACTCATTCTCACAAATCATTGCTCTTTGACACTGTAGAATTGTGAGGAATTTTTCATTCTTTCATTAACTCTGTAGAATTGTAGAATCAAGATATTCACAGTCTGTAATCACTCTTTATAGTCACATAGAAAGATTCAGATCTGCAATTCATAATCACTCTTATTTACTAGAGTGATCTGACTGTTCTGTGAGATCACTCACAGTGAAAGTAAATCTCTTTAAAGTAGTATAAATATTTCAGATCTATCTATAGAATTTTATCTTCTTTTTTCTTTTTCTATAACAGCTTTTATTCTTATAAACTGTGAGTATTCTTATTCATCTGTGAAGTATTTTCACTCAGATGATAGAGAGAGAGTGTTTCTGACAATATCTATATATTAATTCAAGAACTTCTCAAGAATAAAAAATTTTTTCAATTTTAATCTCTTTATAAATAATATCTGATTACTGCTGAGCTTCTTATAAGTGTCTCTGTAACTCCTCTAGTCACTTTTTATCAGCTGATAAAGCAGAGATGCTGTCACTCACAACTGTGTCTTCATCTCTCTCAGCTCTGTCACTGCATCTGATCTTCAGGCCAGCAGTTAATCCTCTGTCTTTCTCAGACCAGTCTCTGACTTCAAGTAGTGCAGTTCTCTTCTTTACTGTAAGTCTTCTTATAAGTAATTTCTTACAGACTCTAGCTGATAGTTCTTATAAAGCTTCTGATGTTATCAGTGTCTTCTGCAGTTCTGTGAGTCTATGATCACTTCTTCTCTACTCACACAATCTCTGACCAGGTATATGCAAATATGTCTAAGTTCTCTATCAATGATTCTCACACTGCAGTGCATTTTCACAATCTCATTGTCAATGAGAGATGAGTTCTCAGATACCTGTAAAATTCAGGTAATCAAGATAATGTGAATATCATGAATTTGTAATGAAAGTTAATCTGAGCAGATAAGCTCTCTCTCTATATCTCAATTATTTTCAGGCTGAATACTTCAGTATAACTGAGAAAGCAGACTCAGCTTTATAAGAGATATCTGATCACATACACAGATAATCAGCTCTCAAAATTCTACTGTAACTGTGTATATTCTGATATTCAGCTTCTCTGAAGTCTGTGCATTTCTAATAATCTTCATATTAAATGTAATAATTATCTGTACTGTGAATATAATACTCTCTGCTTCTTTGAAGAGAGAAATTGATAATTGTGAGAAATTTGAATATTATAGATATTAATGATATGAGTGTGAGTTTTCTTTATTTTTTCTTTATTAATCTCTAAATTGTATTCACAGCTCTGTTTATTTTCTTATTTTTTAGTTTTAATGAGAATATGATTTCTTCTTTTCTTACATACACTGCAGACTGTTCATCTCAGTAGAAACTCATTATCTTATAGACTAGAATTTATAAATAACAGTATTAATATCTTTGTCACAATCAGATTCTTAGTGAAGACTGTATCATTCTGACTTATCAGAATTTATAATATAAAAGTCATATCTCCACTTCTACAGATATCTTATCTGCTCAAATAATTCTCAAGTGAACTCATTCATCTTATCAGAATACTCTTATCACTGAACCTTGAATCAGAGCTCACAATCTTACTTCTCTGAGTTAATAATCTCTTTAATCTGATATTCTCTTTTACTCTCTAGTACTTTATAAACAGAGTGATAAGTTACAGAGTTCTCTTCTGAGAATTTCTTATATTTATAGAGTAAAGAGACATGAAAAACATTGTATATCTATAACTTAGATGACAGTTTTAATTTATAGAACTGTAAACTAACTTTCTTCATAATCTTATAAGACTCTGTCTGCAAGAGATTCAGTTTCTTACTAGATCTCTGTATAATGATATTTTCTAGACTCAG